ATGTCAATCCCAGTTCCCACTCCCTTCCCTCCTCCCCTGCTCCCCATTAACACCCTACCAATCCCATACTATTTCTGCTCCCCAGGGAGAGTGAGGCCTTCCATGGTGGGTCTTCAGATTCTGTCATATCGTTTGAGATAATACATAGGCCCTCACCCATGTGTCTAGGCTGAGGGAATATCCCTTTATGTGAAATGGGCTTCCAAAGTCCATTCCTGTGCTAGGGATAAGTACTGATCTATTGCAAGAGTCCCCAAATATCTCTGAGGCCTCATCACAGACACCCACATTCAGGGGTTCTGGATCAGTTCCATGCTGTTTTCCAAATGATCAGTCTGGGGGCCAAGAGTTCCCCCTTGTTCAGGTCAGTTTTTTCTGTGGGTTTCATCAGCCTGGTCTTGACCCCTTTGCTCATCACTCCTCCTCTACAACTGGATTCCAATTCAGTTCAGTGTTTAGCTGTGGGTATCTGCTTCTACTTCCATCAGCTGCTGGATTATGGCTGTAGGCAGGCATATAAATTAGTCTTCAATGTCAATATCAGGGGAGGGAATTTAAGGTAGTCTCTCTGTTGTTGCTTAGATTGTTAGTTGGTGTCATCCTTGTTGATCTCTGGACATTTCCCTAGTTCCTGATTTCTCTTTAAACCTATACTGGCTCCCTCTCTGTTGATATCTCTTGTTTTGCACTCCTCTGTTCTTCCCCCTACACAATCTTCCTGCTCCCTTATGTCCTCTTCACCCTTCCTCTTCCCCCTTTCTCATTCTCCTAGCTCCCTCTCCCCGGCCCATGCTCCCAATTGCTCAGGCGATCTTGTTCCTTTCCTTTTCTCTGGGGAATCATGCATGTCTCTGTTAGAGTCTTCCTTTTTTCCTAGCTTCTCTGGTGGTGTGGATTGTAGGCTAGTAAACATTTGCTCTATGTGTAAAATCCATATATGAGTGAGTGCATACCATGTTTGTCTTTTTGTGACTGGGTTACCTTGCTCAGAATGGTCCCACACCTGAGGGGCAATCAATAGAGAAGCCAATCTCCTGGCTTATTCTCTGGGACTTGAGAGATCACTTGAATCACATTTATTTCATACCTGGATTGACACAGTGTCTGAGTGATTTCATTGGGTTACCTATACCTTTACTTCCTTTGTGAACTTTATTTCTCAGAGAATCCCACAGTTATTATTGGACAAAATATATAATAAAAATAAGCTGTTTCAGTTTCTATCCATTCTAATCCTATGCTCAAACTCCTCTAGAACCCCATTTTCCAGCACATGCCATTGCCATAAAGAAAATGAAAATAGAGTCAAAGTACATATTAATTCTTGTACATTTGTTTAAACCTACTTGTGATCCATAATGTATTATCCATAAAAGTATGTAAAATGATGTGTTTACTCGGTTGAAAAACATATTATCTATAGGAGGACTTGCCTATTTCTAATACCATAAGTAAATTCCCTCGAGTAATGTCTTCCTTTTGACTAAAGAATGACCCAAGATAAGCACACATGAAGGGGCTTCATACTTTTTAGTTAATATTTTTATTTAAATTAAAAACTATCA